ATTTATGTACTTGATTTCCTTTTATTTATTTATTTTTTAAGATTTTACTTATTTATTTAAGAGAGAGAGAGTGAGAGAGACAGAGAGCACGAGAAGGGGAGGGCCAGAGGGAGAAGCAGATTCCCCATTGAGCAGGGAGCCTGACGTGGGGCTCAATCCCAGGACCCTGAAATTATGACCTGAGCCAAAGGCAGACGCTCAACCGACTGAGCCACCCAGTTGCCCCCTTGATTTCCTTTTAAGGTCCTTTAATTGTTTGATTAAGCAAACTTCCCAAGTACTCAAATTATAAATCCAGTAAGTGAAATTCATATGTGATGATTGTTAAGCTCTCTTAGACAGTCCAGTGATACTGAAAACTTAGATTTCACCTTAAAATCACAAGTCTAAATCAGTTACCGACTTACACATTTTAGTACTGGAATTACGAGGCTCATCAGTTACTCAAGTAGTACAGATTCTCTGAAGTATTACAAGTAGTAATATATACCGAATATGCAGATACCTTTCCACTCAAATATATTGAAACTACAAGTTTGAGCCTCTTAACACTTCTACATTTCATGCTGTCTTCCCAGAGTTGAAAGACTTGAGTTAGCTCAAGCCATGTTAAGGATTAAGATTGCATAACAACCAGTGGTTCCAGGTCGGACCAAGCCTGGAGTGTCATCAGCAATCCCGATAGAATGTGCCTCTTCTAATCCCGATAGAATGTGCCTCTTCTGCTTTATAGTCACTACATTTAAACTCCTCCAAAGGGGAGGTCCCAGATAGGCCATTGCTCTGGGTTCCAGTTATGTATTATCTAATTCTTCTGTAATTGCAGGGTCTGAACATACCGCCTGCTGGGGAAATCACTAGATTATATTTGACATATTTGGGGCTCTTAACTGTATGTAAATTTCTTTTCTCCCTAATTCTTTTTTTTTTTTTTTTTAAGAGGGAAAGAGAGAGGAGGGGCGAGGGGAAAGGGAGAGGGAGAGAGAATTCTTAAGCAGACCGAGATCATGACCTGAGCTGTAATCAAGAGTTGAACGCTTAACTGACTGAGCCACCTAGGTGCCCCTTTTCTCCCTAATTCTAAAGATCTTTAAACTTACCAGAAGTGTCCATTCTTTCCATATACATTTTATCTCTTATGACCACACAAATTTGTTCAGATATAAAATAATACCCAGTTCAATTGTGGAGATTTCTCATGGCTTTGTTTGAATATTTTGGTCACAACTTTCAAGGTCATTCCAATGACATGTTTTTCAGAAAGTTGAAATCCAAATACTATCAGGTTTCTCATTTCAAACCACTGATGGCATCTTCCAGATGCTGCATTTTTCACTGCACATAGTATCACATGATTTGAAGTTTTATTAAGTATTCAAATGTAAATGACAAATGTTTCCAAAGCCTAATTTAAACATTGTGTGTTGACTAAGAAATGTCAATGACTCATAAGCAAATTTTGAATATATTCAAATATTAAATTTTTCTTACGTTTGTGTCTTGTCTCAAGTAGATTGTAAGGTCCTTAAGGAGAAGCACCTGGTTTTATATTTATAATGTGGGGAAATACTTACTCACTAGGTAATGAAGACAAGTTATTTAATTGGGACCTGCACTCTAGCTTCATAATAAAAGAAGAATATTTTTGTTCTTTAATTTAGATGCCCAGTCCTGTAGCAAGAGAATGAGTTCTGGGGACAAAGACACTGTTTAGCCTGCGGGATTTATTTAGAATCCTTAAATCGAGGGCCAAGGACATATTCTCAGAGGACATTGCATTCTCTATAGAAAGTTGTTGACTTTATACAGAAAACTATCTTTGAAAAATGTCATATAATCATATTCCGGATCATCCAGATGACATGTAATAGAATCCTTTTTTTTTTTTTTTTAAGATTTTATTTATTTATCTGACAGAGAGAGAGAACAAGTAGGCAGAGAGACAGGGAGAAGCAGGCTCCCCACTGAGCAAGGATCCCCATGCGGGGCTCGATCCCAGGACCCTGGGATCATGACCTGAGCCGAAGGCAGCCGCTTAACCGGCTGAGCCACCCAGGCGCCCCTTTGTAATAGAATCCTGTCATGGAATTTCAGCACCAAAGTCTGTGCATCATTGGAACCCAGAAGTACATTCGCTGTTTCAGGCTAATGAGTAAAGAATACAGGCAAATTCAATACAAAAATCACATATTAGGTTTTTATAGTTGCATCAGAAAAATGAAACAATATATATTACAGTTGAAAAGAGGGGCGCCTGGGTGGCTCAGTTGGTTAAGCGACTGCCTTCAGCTCAGGTCATGATCCTGGAGTCCCGGGATCGAGTGCCGCGTCGGGCTCCCTGCTCGGCAGGGAGTCTGCTTCTCCCTCTGACCCTCCTCCCTCTCATGCTCTCCTGTCTCTCATTCTCTCTGTCTCAAATAAATAAATAAAATCTTTAAAAAAAAAAAAAAGAAAAGATCATGATGATAACAATTATTCAAAGAAGTAATGCAAAAATAAGGATCAAATGATGTCATTGTATTTGGTTTGAAAAAAGCTTTTCAGGAGTTCCAAGAGCTGCACTGGTATGCCAAACTCAACAGAACACGGAGGGGCCGGCAGCACCAAAATCATGCTGTAAACGGTAATTCAATTTCAAGAAAACATTGTATGTTACATTAATTTAATGTTGTTAATTAGAATTTTACTGTTTTTGCCATTTGTAATTAGTGCACATACTTTAGTTTTATTATTGAGTAAAAACTGCAACACAAGGAGTTCGTAACTAGTTTTATGTTCATATATGTTTAAGTAACATTAGTATAAACATAATTGAAATCAACATCTGGGCATCGGTAGGAGTTTCTTTCTTTCTCTTTCTTTCTTTCTCTCTTTCTTTTCTTTTCTTTTCTTTCTTTTTTTTTTTTTTTTTTGCTGCAAAAAGCTTTATTGTTTCCATTTGGCCCACGGCTTGGGAGAGGGCTCCAGAGTGGTTACAAAGCTGCCTCGTGGCTGCAGGGAAAGGCTGAGGCACAAGTTCCGGCACCAGGGGGATGTCAGAGGGGCCCCCTCAAAGCCTGCTGGTCTCCAGAGGCTCCTAGTCGTGCTTGAGAGTGAGCCTTTCCAAGAGATCCTCGCCCAGCCCAGCCTGGGGGCCGGCCAGCCTGCGGAGGTGAGGCAGGTGGTCCCCATCTTCTTGATGAGTTTCACCTTCTCACCCAGGAAGTGGTTTTCCAGGGAGTCACAGAGATGGGGGTCTGCGCGGGCAGAAGCCGGGGCACGCAGCTCCAGAAGGGCCTGGTTCAGGTTCACCTCCAGGACCTCGGCGGCTTCCATGGCATCTGGGGCTTTGCCCCCCTCATCTTGGGACGGCTTCTGCCCATCCTGGAAGAGGGCGCGGCAGCCGCGCTGGTTTTGCATCTTCAAGAGGCACTCGGCGCCCTCGTGCTTCTCCTCAGCCGGCTCGAGGAAGAAGTGCCCACACCTTCCAGAGCCACATCGTCACGGTCGAAATAGAAGCCCAGAGAGAGGTAGGTGTAGGGGGCCCGCAGAGGCATGTTGCCCGGGCGGTTGACGGCGGCCTCCCCCTCGGTGGAATCATTCTGACGAATCTGGGAGCTCACTGTTGATCGGTGATAAGGAGCTAAGCTCGAAATTGGCTATTGGCTGGTCGCAGAGGCCGCGGGGGCCAAGAAGATGGCTCCCAAGGTTGCGACTAGAGAAGAGGTTGGAGGGTGGTCGTTGGCTGGTAGGAGGGGCGCCCCGTGCCTGGGTCCGTGCCGACCGAATACTGCTGAAGGGAGAGACACATCCGCAGGACGGCCGGGCTCACTGCTCGGTAGGAGTTTCTTATTTCCTTTTAAAGGGATTTGTGCAGCACTTAAGTTGAGAAACTTTGATGGCACATTTACATACTATTTCCATTTTCCATTTTCATCCCAGAGAACTTACGTATTTTAAGGTGATTTAAGTACAGTAATTGATAAATGCATAGAATATAGATACATATGTAAGTGAATGTAAATATGTACATATCTTACCAAAAACTACACAATGCTTTGAACTCCTAGAAGATAAATTATGTTTACATATGTACTATTACAATAAAATTTATTATAACATTGCATCAGGGTACTGAAAATAAAACCTAATGTGGCTAATCCTGATCCAGGACTGTAAGTCTATGTGGTGAGGTAGGTTAATTCCTCTCACAGAGTAGAGTTATCTTTAACCCTTTAGGAGACCCTGTTTCTTGTTTGCATTTCTCTCTTCGGGATTTTCGCGCCAAATGCAAGCACCACAACGGAGAGTTCAGTCTGCGCTGTTGAAGGGATCTAAATGGCACTGCCTAATTTACCTGCTCATTGTCACTGTTACACTTTTGAGTGATGGGGACCTGGGAGGTGCCTGGACAGGAGTGTCATTTGATCGGGGAGATGCTGGGTGCCTGATCTTTAAAAACAAACAGGAAAAAGCATTCTCAATCTGATCCTCTTAACCAGAAGTTCTTACCCTGGGGAGGACTCCAGGAGCTGGGGGCGGGGGAGGTGGGGGAGGGGAAGAGAAGGGGGAAAGCCTCCCCACACTGTGGAGAGCAAATTGAAAGTCACAGAGGGGTATGCCTCAAGGCAGTTTGTAAATCCACTTTCTTTGTCATAACAGGAACAAATCCCACCTTTGAAGTTTTTCCTTCTTGTTACAAGGATTCGGAATGTCTTTTGTTTAATCCATTTTAGCCCTTAATACCTGACCTGGATCAATCCTGTTGGTTAGATTACACAGCATTCATGCTGATTTTAAACTGGCCTGGGGTGGGGTGGTCGGGGGCACCGGGTTCTGCCTCATTGGTGTGGGAATCTCAAGAATAATCAACAGGAACACCCAGACCACCTTTATTTTGAAAAACAAACTGTCCTTTTCCACTTAAATGCATAATCTTGATGAATATTGCTAAACAGATTTTGGTGTGTTCTACAAATGATACATCTTCAAGGGGCCTTTGAAAAGCTGATTCTACTCACCTATTCAGCGTGGCGTAAAGGACTGTGATGTTCACCACATAATACATAATGCCTTCAATGAAAATTCAAGGACGGCCTTCTTTCCCAGGCCCCCACATCAACTGTGGGTGCAGATTTGAGCAGTAGGGGACACTTTGCTTCTCAATCCTCGCCTTGGTGTCCTCTTTCTCAGGGATCTGATTATTGAATAAGAAAAAGAAAAGAAGAGAGAAAGCCTCTTTATAAAATGCAGCCCTATTCCTTCAATCTCCAAAGAGCTTTTAGCTCCATCCCTTAAGAATTCTGAAAGCCAGTGATGAGCAAAGGTGAGGTACCCTCAGAGTAAGCCTCACAAAGGGCAATTGCTAATTAGGTATTTTTCTAGGCAAGTGGCTATTAACTGGTTCTTAACAAAACACATTGTCTCAAATCACTTCAGGTTGGCTGATGCAGAGGAACCTTCCCAGAAAATCAAACAGCTTGGCTCAGAGGAGGGGAGAGGGGGCAGGTGGCCAAGACCACCGGAACTTTCACTTACCCTAGTGTCTTGAAGGAGCAGGAGACTCACAATCACTGCCCCCCAGCCTGGTGTGCCTTGGAAAAAGTCAACCATGTAGGTTAACCAGAAAATGGCCCAGTCAGCAGGGACGGGGAATGCACATTTGATACTTGGGTAAAAAATGTGCCATTGGCAAAAGGAGAAGACAGACTGGCTCCTGGTTTCTTCATTTTGGCTGGTTATGTTTGTTCTGATAGTCACCCAAACTTCCAAGGGCAGAAACTGTGCTTTTTATCCCTTCAGCCACAAGTCACTTCACTGGGCTGTGGGCTTTGTAAAGTCTCAAGAGAGGCTTATGGGTAACTGGATAAATTGATGTTGAGAGTGCATTGAGTGTGCCCCTCCAGAAGAAGGTGAAAACATTTGTTTTGTCCCCAATAACCCCGTCAAGTAACAAACGTGGAACATGCTACTTTTTCTCTGTTGCAGTAAGGAGAGAGTACTTTTTACATTATGGTATTTGAGAATTGAAATTGCTCACTGGGTGTCCTATTTATTCATTATTCCCATGATGCCTCTGCATCTCAGTCTTTCACACTGGCAGGGAGAATGTACTGTTGCTGGCAGAAGATAGTAAATCCATGAAATGATGCTGATAGACAAAGCAGAGCACCATGGGTTGCATGGGGTAGATTTCAAAGTTGCTGATTTATCAATTTATCTTAATATATAAAAATGAATGTGGATGCAGGAATTGACAAGCCGAACCTTAGTTCACATGGAAATGCAAAGGACCCAGGATAGCCAAAGTAATCTTGAAAAAAAAAAAAGAAAAGAACGAAGTTAGAAGACTCACACCTCCCTATTTTAAAATATATCACAAAGCTACACTGATCAAGGTGGTGCTGCTGTCAGAGAGACATAAGATTGTGATGGTCAGTTTCGTGGGTCAGGCCCCAATCCCTGTTATTCAATCAAACTCTAATCTAGGTGTTGCTGTGAAGGTATTTTGTAAATGTGACTAAAGTCTATAATCAGTTTACTTTAGGAAAAGAAGATTATCTTAGATAATCTGAGTGGGCCTGATTCAATCATTTGGAAGGCCTTAAGAGCAGAACTGAGGCTTCCCTGAAGAAGAGATTCTGCCTGTGGACCACAGCTTCAGCTTGTGCCTGCCCTTCCTGACAGCTTGCCATATGCATTTCAGACTCGCCACAATTACATAAGCCGATTCTTTGTAATAGATCAATCTCTCTCTTTGTATGTATGGGAGTTTACATATATACATCTCTGTATGTATATATTTGTACATACATACATAGATAGACATATCTATATGTATATATATCTCTCTTTCTATACATCTCCTACTGGTTCTGTTTTCCTGACTGATCAACAGAATAGAATTGAGAGTCTAGGAATCAGCCCCTATGTTCTTACACTTATGGTCAATTGATTTTTGACAAAGGTGCTAAGACAACTCATTGGAGAAAGAATAGTCTTTCCAATGAATGGTCCTGGGACAACTATATATTTATATACAAAAGAATGAAATCGCACCCTTACTTCATGACGTTTGGAAAAATTACCTAAAAATGAATCAAAGACCTAAATGTAACAGCTACAGCATAAAAGTCTTAGAAAAAAACCTAGGTGTAAATTTTGTGATCTTGGATTAGGCAGTGGTTTCTTAGGTAGGGCTCCAAAAACATGAGCAACAAAAGAAAAAAATAGACAAATTGGCCTTCATCAAAATTAAAAGGACACAATGAAGAAAGTGAAGAGACAGGCCACAGAATGGGAGAAAATATTTGCAAATCATATATCAAATAAAAGTTTAATACCTAGAATATATAAAGAATAATTTCAACTCAACAATAAAAAGATAAATGACCCAATTTAAAAATGGGCAAAAGATTTGACTACACATTTCTCAAAAAAAAGATATTCAAATGGAAAAGAAGCATATGAAAAGATGCTCAATATTATTAGTCATTAGGGAAATGCAAGTCAAAACCTCATGAGAGGACGGGGAATGCACATTTGATACTTGGGTAAAAAATGTGCCATTGGCAAAAGGAGAAGACAGATTGGCTCCTGGTTTCTTCATTTTGGCTGGTTGTTTGTTCTGATAGTCACCCAAACTTCCAAGGGCAGAAACTGTGCTTTTTATCCCTTCAGCCACAAGTCACTTCACTGGGCTGTGGGCTTTGTAAAGTCTCAAGAGAGGCTTATGGGTAACTGGATAAATTGATGTTGAGAGTGCATTGAGTGTGCCCCTCCAGAAGAAGGTGAAAACATTTGTTTTGTTCCCAATAACCCCGTCAAGTAACAAATGTGGAACATGCTACTTTTTCTCTCTCTCTAAAAAAAAGGCAATAACAAAGTATTGGTGCAGATGTGGAGAAATTGGAGCCCTTAGACATTGCTGGTAAAAATGTAAGTTGTAGCAGCCACTTTGAAAACAGCCTAGAAGTTCCTCAAAAGTTTAAACATAGAGTTAGCATATGATCAAGTAATTCCACACATAGGTATATACCCAAAAGAAATGAAAGCATATGTCCATACAAAAACCTGTACACAAATATTCATGAAGTAGCATTTTCATAATCACCAAAAAGTGGAAACTCAAATATTTATCTGATGACGAATTGGTAAACAAAATATGGCTTATCTATATAATGGAGTATTATTCAGCCATAAAAAGGAAAGAAGTACTGAAACATGCTACAATATGGATGAAGCTTTAAATGATTATGCTAAGTGAAAGAAGCGAGACACAAAAGGCCACATTTGTACGAATCCATTTATATGAAATGTCCAGGATAGGCAGATCCGTATAAACAGGAGGATTAGTGGTTTCCAAGGACTGGGGCACGGGGGTGGGGAAAGAGAATATGAGGAGTGAGAGCTAATGGGGTTGAGAGTTTCTTTTTAGGGTGATGAAAATATTCTGGAGTTAGATCATGATGATTATAAAACTCAGAATATATGAAAATCCCCTGAATTGTATAAAGGGCAAATTTTATGGTATGTAAATTATATCTCAATGAATTATATATTTATACATAATTTATAATTATAAATTCTTTTACATACATTAGAATACATATGACCTTACTATAAGTAAGTCTTTGCACTTACATCAAGATTGGTATGTAAAACACACAATGGTTTCTATGGGGATATTCTGTGACCTTTGCTTGAAAGTAGGGATATAATTATGCCAGGTTTTTTAAATACAGAGCTGGGTTTAGTTATGTACATGATATGGAGCTAAGAAATTTCCCAACTTCATTGTGTGATACAAAACTCTTTGGCTCTAAGGCAGTGAAATCATCTGCAAATAAGAGAACTTTGATCTAATAAAAGCGTATCATTGAAAATCTAAGATGCATTCCTTAACAATAATACTTTTTTAAACATCTACCACATAGTGAGCACTTTACATGTGTTACGTCATTTAATATTTAAAACAGCCCTATGAAACTATTATTATCACATGCTACCAGTCAGCAAACTGAAGATCAATGAGTTTAGTTAACAGGCTAAACATGTGTTGCTCTTTAGTAGAACATAATGATGGCCGAGCCAAGATTCAAATGTCTAAATCTCAGGCTCTTTTCCCAGTAAAACACTGCCTTCCCAGAGATGGACCATGGAAGAGCAGTCTCACTCCACCATATACATTTGGGGAGCTGGGGAGTAGGTAAGGGGATAGTGAAGTGCCTGCTGATACTAGAAGCCAGCAGTCAAATGTAGAAAAGACAGACAGGATCATCTTCAATTTGAGACAGAGCCCTTCTTCCTTGAAAGGTATAGTCTCTTAACAATCCCAAATAATGAGGTTTTCTGTGTGTGCCTTATCCAGAAACACCATTTCTTAAGGGATTACAGCATGGACCAAAACTCTTTTTTGAGTTCTCATTGATTCATTCTATGCTGTATCTTGGGAATATGAATATGACATATATAAATAGGACTCCTCATGGAGCCCAATCTGGTGGCAAAGATAAGAGACAGCCACAATTCATCATGATATATGGCAGGGTTGAGTTTGTTGTGGTAGCCAGGATGGACATGCCTAACACTGGGACATAGGTCCAGGAAGGTCTCATGAAGATGATTCAGTAGGATCTTAAGGATGAGCAGGAATTTACTAGAAATCTATCTGTGCATGCAAGGAGAGGTCAGTTCAGAGGAGAGAGGGAAGGTGAAGAAGGCCGTGAGAACATGCACAGAGTGGTGGAGCCCACTGTATTTCCATCTCACACCACACTTGGAGCCTGACATAACAAGGGATTATGACAGACACTTAGTTGTCTACCCAATAGTTCTCCTCCTTTCTTGCTAATGGAACCCCATTGTTGTTTGTGATAACAAAATGGCCTCACCCTTGGAGATGAATCATGGCTGATAGAAACCATTCACAACAATCCTCTTCCTCTTAGACACACATTCATTTTCCCAGTCCTGGCCCATAGTAAGTAGTGGGAAAAGTTTCTTCTTTCCTGGTAGAAGGGGCAGAAGTAACTGGCACCACACGAAGCAACAAGCAAAAACGGAAAAGCCAACATGCTAAGAGTGAGGAACAGAAATGCGGGAAATAACCTGTATCCCTGATGCATCACAGAGAAGTTGTAACTACAAAATCCATCCACGAGGGACTTCTTGTCCTGCAACAAAATAATAAGCCATCATTATTTGACTTGTAAGTAGCAATCAAAAGCATTTTTATATGATACAGAACATTTCCAACTAAAGACGAGCAACATTTTCTCCCCACCTCAAAAGCTTTTCTTTATTTGGTGCATGGACTTCATCCCTGATTGACCACTATGGAGAAAGGCTGAGCTCTGTGAGTGTCCTTCCTAATATCCATTCATTTCCAACTCTATTAGCCCTGAGAAGTTACAAGAAGAACATGACCATTCTGCCTTGGCATATTCATGATAATAGAGCACCCATGGCAGCCATCCTATAGTAAGAAGTCCCTGGGGCCATGGCAGATAGCAAATGGCAATGGTGGGGATGACCCATGATCCTGGCGCCATGCACATGTCAGGTTGCAATTACCAGAGAGAGTTCAGGTTTTGCTCCTGGCAGAGAACCTTGTTTATCTTTGTCATTGGCACCATTGCTTCCACTGCTGGGCCAAAACCTTATTAGCCACTGGAAGTTGGCAGAGGAACACAGACCAGAGCAACTGACTGTGACATGAAGAACTGATATTCTTGCAGACTTAACAGTGTCTCCACTGCTGCTTCCCATTGGCCAAATTTATGATGACTCACCTCTAACAAGGCTATATTTAGTCATCTGTGTCAAATCCAACTCCAGCCCAAAAGTCAGAGATAATTTAATACTAGACTTGGATGGATTTTGTCAGTTTGTTACTTCATGTTCAATGTAAGAAAAACCCACAAGAAAAACAGCCCCAGATGATTTTTCCTCCGGAGTTGAAGATTTTATACATCAGCGAAAGCTCTGAAAAATGACAGTCTTGTGAAAATATACATGCTCTTTTCCTGTGAGTACCAGAGACTTGGTTATGTACCATCTGTGTTAGGAAATTGTAAGCTCACCAAAGACAGAAGCAAGCCTTTTATCTCAGCACCTCCCATAATTCAGTGTGCCCTCCTCATTACTTCTACCTGTGCTGATTCTTTTCCTCACTCCCTCCTTCTCTATTGCCTCCCTCATCCCCACCTTCTGACCTTTTCTCCTCTTGGAGTTTCCATGTTCTTACATAGGAAGATTAATTTAGCTTATCCAGGTTTCTCCAACCCTGCATCTCTACATGTTACCCTCAAGTACAACAAAGGTGGTTAGCCAAGCAGTGCAAACTTTAAAGGATAAGGGAAGGGAAAGGCTGTGAATGTTTTTATCCCTGTAACTCCCATAAATCATACTACTGATAAACTTATTCTCCCACATAACAACCCTCCGCATCTCTCTTTGCCTACTAAATAATTTCCACCCTCTTCATCTGACATTTAATGTCCTCTGTGACCAAGACCCACCTTCCTTAAAAATGAGGTTTTCCTAATATTGGTATCATTGACATTTTGGGCGGGACAAGTTTCGCTGTGGGGGCTGTCCTGTGCATTGCAGCATCCCTGCCTTCTACCCATTAGATGCCAGTAGCATACCCCCACACGGTTGGGACAACCAAAGCTGTCTCCAGATGTTACTAAATGTCCCCTGAATGGAAAAAATCTCCCTGGGCTGAGAAATATTGCTTGAAAGCCTTCTCACCTACTACTTCCTGTACTTTGGCTGTACTCTGTCTGTAAACAACATACTCTGAATTATCTCACCTTCACGCCTTGGCTTTCTTTGTCTTTTTGGTTTTGGAGGGCCCTCCCTTTCATCACCCAGCTCCATCAAACTAAAATCCTACTCATCCTTTAAGACCAAAATCATTACTCCATGAACTATCACGTCATTCCCTCTTACTAGAAGTGTCGTGTTCTTCCTTTGAGTTTCTTCCTCTCATAACTTCCTTTGAGTTTCTTCCTCTCATAACTAAATTCTTTATTTCCATTTGACTTCTTGAATCTAGTAACTCTTTTTTACGCGCTCAACCAGTGAGTGTTTGCCAAATGGATGTGCGAATGCGTCTTTTGTGGTGGAGAATTAGAACATCGGAGTAGGAGATAACATTCTCTCCCCTCAGCTAAGAAGGCCACATGAGACTCATTCTCATGCTTTCTGAATCCTTCTTACTGAGTTAGTGGCAATAGGGCAGCACAGACCTGAGGATTCAGGAGCTTCTGCCCTCCTCAAAAGAATGTCAAGAAGCCAGCAAGCTGATCTTGATTATTCCCTCCCTCCAACATATATGACGGGTGCCCTAAACCATTCTCATTGTTGTTAAGCGACTAGAAAAATCTAGGCCACTCCCCTCCTGCAGGGGATCCCTGGAAATGCATAGGTCCCAGCCTTGTCTGACCACCCCCAGCTCTCACAGCAATTAGCACTCACATTTAGGAAGCCTTTTCTGCCACAGTAAGCCACCTCAGCAATAGTAAGAAAAAAAAAATTAAGTTTTTCCTGTACAGGCTCAGGCTTTCCCTCTATAAGTCATTTCTCACCTCCAGAAACAAGGCAACTAGAAACTCTGTAAATTCCAGTACAGTCTTCCAGTTGTCGTAGCGACTGAGCCAGTGTGGTTTTGGAAACTGTCCTTACAGCCAAGCAACGATCACAGAAGTCCTTCACAGAATAGTTTGACCTTAGTGGGGGAAATTCATTTCTAGAATCTCTACACTGCCACCTCGAGTTCACCGGGAATAGTGTGTCCTTCTTGTCGCTGGACAGACAGCTGGGTGTGTGATTTCCACGTTCTCTGGGCCTTAAATGACAGGCACTGCAGCAGGCTCAAGTAACAGACCTTGTCCTTATTATGACTGGACTTTAGTCCCTCAAACTAGGCAGGCCTGTCAATGGAAACATCTGATGTCTTAGTGCTCGATGGTACAGCCTAGACATGTCATGTTGCTTTAAGAGAGGTAGAAGTAAAAGCTCAGACTGAAATGGAATTAAATACAAAAATAGAAAAAAGAAAGTCCCTTTCAGATTCTCTACTCCCAGGAGACTGACCAGGATTCAAACTTTTAAAAGCAAAAATAAGAATACTGACCAAGGAACATATATATATCTGTGTGTGTGTGTGTGTGTGTGTGTAAAAGATGGAGAAAATATGATACTGCTTAATTTCCCCTGACCGTCTAAATATTGTTTTTTAAGAGATGGAGAGATAGGGGGGGAGGGGCAGAGAGAGAGGAAGAGAATATTAAACAGGCTCCAGGCCCAGCTTGTAACCCAACTCAGAACTCGATCTCACAACCCAGACATCATGACCTGAGTGGAAATCAAGAGTCGGACCCTTAATTGACTGAGCCACCCAGATGCCACCCCCTGACTGTCCAAATAATTTAATATCACTGAAGTTAACATTTTCTCATTTTATATAATGACATTTTTAAAACCTGAATAACATCTTTAAACAGGAAGTCTTTTTAAAATTATTTCACTATTTGTAACTCTGGAATAAACTTTTTCTCCTGGGCTTGTACCTGGTGGCTGGTTGGAAAATCTAGAGGCTCTCCCCTCTACCTCTTTTTTTTTGGAGTGGGAGTGTTTTTCTTAATGTCTGTCACATTAATGATTAAAATCAATTAAGTTCATCTGGGAAGGTGATGTAAAAGACAGATTTCCTCATTCCACTTAGGTGATTTATTGCCCTCTAGTGGTGTGAGATACTAAATATTGATGCAAAGTTAAGGCAGAATGAATTGGAATTCATTCACTCAATTATTTATTGAGTAGCTACTCTATGCCACGCATAGTTTCAAGCTCTGTGGCTATAGCAGCAAAGAAAATAAGCCAGAATCCTGAAATCAGGGAGCATATATTTTAATGGGAGAGATAGAAAATTAAGGTTTAAATATGAGTGGATACTTTAGATTGGAGTGTCTAGAATGGCCTCCCTAAGAAGGTGATATTTGCCCCTAGATCTGAATGCCAAGAAAACCAGCCAAAGGAAGATCAGGAGACAGAGCATTTCAGGCAAAGGGAACAGCTAGAATAAGAGTCTTAAAACAGAAATAAGCTTGGGGTGTTCAAGGAACAGAAAGATTCAGATTGGCTAGAGCATGGGAGATGGAGAGGATGGTATTAGATGAAGGTGGAAAGATAGGTAATGGCCAGATCATGCAGGGCCTTGAACCAAAGAAAAGCAAGTTGAAGGACATCAAGCAGGGAAATAACAATTTGATTCACATTCTTTAAAAGCTTGCTACAATAATAAACTGTAGATGAGCAAAGGAGGAAGTTTGGAGACCGTGAGGAGGCCGCTATAGTAGTCCTCCATCAGAAATGGCGGTGGCTGGCTCCAGTGTTACAGCGGTGGGAATGGAGAGCGTTGGTGGGTCTGGAAGGTAGAATCAGCAGGATTTGTTGAATGGCTTGGATGTAGGTGTGAGGGTAAGTGAGGGCGTGAGAATGACACCTCAGTTTTTAATTGAGTAACTGAGTGGAAGGAAATGGTATAGACCAAGATGAGGAAGATTGCCTGTGGATTAGTTCTGGGAAGCAAATCAGGTCGTGGCCTTCATGGCTTGGATACAAAATGCTGTACAAATTTTCTTTTTAAGATTTTATTTATTTATTTGATAGAGAGCACAAGTAGGCAGAGAGGCAGGAAGAGGGAGAGGGAGAAGCAGACTCTCCACTGAGCAGGGAGCCCGATGCGGGGCTCGATCCCAGGACCCCGGGATCATGACCTGAGCCGAAGGCAGATGCTTAACGACTGAGCCCCCCAGGTGCCTCTGCTGTACAAATTTTTAAAGAGTGTGTTATACAATGATGCCAGGACAATACATAAATACTTTCAAGTTTCAAGAGGTACAGGAGAGCTATAGAGTTTATCAACGGAAATTAGGAAGAACAGCTCCCTGATTACAGTGTGAGGCAACCCAAATGGGTAGGGAAAGAGAATTTAGCACCATGCGGATAAGAGGCAAGGGCTTTGAAAGCTTCTATGGGAAACTTCTCTCCCAGTTCCTTTTCTGTGATTTGGGGACTTCCATTATGTACCACAAGAGAGTGTCATGAGAATCACAGGATATTAGAGGTGAAAAAACTTGGAGGAAAACTACTTCTCCAACTCCCTTCTTTTACAAATAAAGGTGTTAATGGGGCACCTGGGTGGTTCAGTTGATTAAGCATCTGCCTTGGACTCAGGTCATGATCTCAGGGACCTGGGATCTGAGCCCCGTGTTGGGCTCCCTGCTCAGGAGGGAGTCTGCTTCTCCCACTCACTCTCCCTCTCTCTCAAATAAATAAATAAAATCTTTTTTAAAAAACAAACAAAGGTGTTGAAGCCCAGAGCCAAGTGGGTGGAAGGCACATGAGTATTCGTGGCTCTCCTCAATATACCAGATACCATATGAAGAACTTTGTGTACCTTACCCCGTCAGTTCTTTAAACAATCTTGCAAAGTATGTATAAATTCCCATTCTCCAGCTAAGAAAACTGAGGCTTTGAGAAGCCAAAAGTCCTATAAATAGCTACTAGCAGAGATGGAACTAGAAATTTCAAGTTCCAGTGCTCTGGAGTCCATGCAATGCTCTTCTAAAGAAGATTTTTGAAAATGTGAAGAGAAAAATGAAATTAATTTGGATAACTCTTCTTAAAGTTTAACATTCCATTCTTCCCCTCAAACATATGGGGGCAAGCCAGATTGCAAGGTTTCTGTAAAGCATCCAGGTGAGTTCTCCTGGCTAGGCCAGAACCAGACTTGGTGATGATTATGGTGATGATGATGATGTAGCTGCCATTTTCTTTGTGCTTTCTAAGTTTCAGTGTCTCAAACATTCTCTTGCTTAATCCTCACAACAGATTTGCAATCTGTTATCTTTATTTTAAAGATTTATTTTATTTATTTGAGAGAGAGAGCATGAGTGGGAGGGGCAGAAGGAGAGAGAGAATCTCAAGCAGACTTGTCTCTGCACGGAGCCCCACGTGAGGCTCCATATCACGACCATGAGATCATGACCTGAGTCAAAATCAAGGGTCAGATGCTCAACTGACTGAGCCACACAGATGTCCCCGTTATCTTTATTTTAGAGATGAAACTAAGACATAGGTTAAATAATTTGCCCAAAGTCACATCACTACTGTATTCGATGCAGAAGCTTGGATGTGGGCAGAGGGAATATATGTCTTCCTTCTAAAAAGTTTTAATAACTTCTCTTCCCTCAGGCCCTAGTGCAATGGCTCACACAGGTCTGTCCTCCTTTGCAGGGCTGGGGATACAGGAAATGGGACCACTGCAGGGACAATCTTTATGTCACACACAGTTTAGATCTTATCTAGCATTGTATTATGACCCATAGGACAAAGAGGAAAGAAAAGCAAATGTGAGCCACAGAGGGTCTGCCTATATAACTGGGAGCTCTAAAGGCCCTTTATAAGTTGGAGGAAAGCCCCGTGTGATTGATAGTGGGCATCTCTACAGGCTCAGAGAAAATCCCCGGGGTTGTCCTGGCGAGCCAATTATGCCCAGTTCAATGAGGTAAAGGCTATGAAGCTGAGGAAAGCAGGTGAAGGTATAGGCCTTTTCCAAGTAGAAGTCTCTGAAGACTGTAAAGTAGATTCCATGGCTAATCGAAGGGGCTGTTAATATGATTCAGAGATACCTGAGTGACCATCGCTTGTTGTAGGTCTGTAGTTTGAGTGAAACTAGATGACATTAGCTGTGAGAGACTGGAAACCAAGTTCATGCCTGAGTGTGTTGTACCTCGCCGTGCTCTACAGTTAGGCATATACTGCATGTTGCTGAGGTGGTTGTACCACATCAGATCCAGAGAAGTGGTTGCTGGCCTACTGCACAATTGTTAGTGTGCAGAATTCTCCAAAATCATAAAACTGGAGGAGGACATTTCATCCTCCTGGGATGCTCAGTCACAAGGATATTTTGAGCCCAACTATGTACTCCCCTGTGTGAGGATTTGGGGATCTGAAAACTTGTACCTCTGCCTGCCTTAGATACCTCCATTGTTTATCCTGACTGCAACACTATTTGATTTATCCAAATGGTATCTGAGTCTGGTTTTTTCATCAGTCCAAGTCTGGTATTGACGTTTGGTCATGTAGTCACTTTGTAGATTGGAGGCAGAAGCAGGAGTAATGACATTACTCCAGACCCAGTAGAGATGAAGGGACCAAGATGGTATTGGTGTTGGATTGATGGACAGAGCATCTGCAGTTTGAGATAGCTAAGGACACAAGATGTGTAACAGGAAGAAACATTTGTGCCACATGGCCTTTATCCCTCTGGATCTGGCTCACAAACTTAAAATGGAGCAAAACTTCTTTTTTTTTTCCCCCAAAGGAGTATAAAACTAGACAGACCTTGGCTTTTGTTTGCTGCTCTGGTGAAAATCACTAAGCCAATAGAGGGAGCTAAAGCAGCACAAATGGGACTTGTGGACACAGACTCATTGCAAAGAGATTCCCAAATATTTGGAGAAGGGCTTAAAGTTATTCTAGTCTATGGAATTGGGGGATGCCGCAGAAAAGAGGCCAAAGATCAATAAAAATAATATTGCTAACAAGATTCTGTTGATTACTTCAATATCTACATATTTAATTAAAATGAGTATCATGAATGAGATGCTTCTTTGCTATCATCTAGGTGAC